CCTGCTTATCAGTTTTCATGATTAATAGACTTCAGTTAATAAAAAAAAACACATTTAAGGCTAATATAAGTAACATTTAAGTAACTAAAATCAAGTATTTTTAAATACATACCCTATTTTGTTCATTGTATTTATTCGAAACAAAATATTAATTGTCCCTAGTTCAATGAAATAAGAACAACAACATCATAAGTCGTTTATTGACAAAATTAAAATTGCCTTTAAATATGACAGATATAGTATTAAACAATAAAACATAAACTATGCACTAATATGCACTAAAATATTTGAATTTGCTGTTGGACCTTATCTATTTTGATGACTTAATTATTTAATAAATAAGATTGATGCTAAGTTCCAAAGAGTTCTCATCTCTGTTTTAATGTCTTGATTCCAGAATTATATTATTATTAAGAAACTATTTGCATTTGCATTTTTAAAATTAATATTGTATAATTTTATCCTGATAGGTAAAGAATTTAAATTGAGTAATCCATTTGGTGATGAATTACCCGCAAGAGGCTTTGACCCAGGTCAAGATACTTACCAAGCTCCACCTGCTGATGGTTCAGCTTTAAGTGTGGTAGTAGATCCAAAATCAAATCGACTCCAATTATTGGAACCATTTAAGGTTTGGGATGGAAAAGATTTGGAAGGCCTTACTATCCTTATTAAAGTGTGTTTAAATAAATAATTTGAATATTATTTTCCTTTTAAGATTTTATAATCTCCTATGTATACCTTTTAAATAGGTAAAAGGAAAATGTACAACTGATCACATTTCTGCAGCTGGCCCATGGTTGAAATACAGAGGTCACTTGGAAAATATATCTAATAACATGTTATTAACGTAAGTTATTTTGACTTAGTTTTTATTAAAATGTATAAATTAAAATGATTATTTTTTATCATTTTAGTGCAGTCAATGCAGAAAATAATGAAATGAATAAAGTAAAGAACCAGGATACTGGAGAATGGGGTGCAGTGCCAGATACAGCCCGGGCATACAAAGCTAAAGGTATATCGTGGGTAGTGTTTGGTGATGAAAACTATGGTGAGGGAAGTAGCAGAGAACATGCCGCGTTAGAACCACGTCATTTGGGTGGACGTGCAATCATTGTCAAGTCATTTGCCCGTATTCACGAAACTAATTTGAAAAAACAAGGATTATTAGCCCTGACATTTTCTGATCCTAAGGATTATGATAAAGTTCAATCATCCGATAAAGTATCTTTGGTAGGACTGAACCAATTTACCCCTGGCAAGGTAAACTAAAGTTCATTTAATATTCATCCAGGTTTCYAGTATCTACTACATATTTCATTTCTAATATTATTTGTTATAATTTCAGCCACTGAAATGCATATTGTCTCACGCTGATGGGAGCTCTGATGAAATATTACTGAATCATACATTCAATGAACAACAAATCCAATGGTTTAAATCCGGCAGTGCATTAAACCGAATGAAGCAAGTGGCTGCTGCTTCTAAATAAAATATTTATTCTTCTATATTAAATTGTATTATCTATTAATATTTAATTCATTGTTGATATTTTAAATTGAAAACAAACAATTATTGTATGTAAAAAGTAACTGTTTTTAGTCAAATATTTTTAGACAAAAAATCATTGGATTTAGATCCATTGCTATACTATTGTTTTATAATATTGTAATTGTTAATAAATTTAATAAACAATTTTGATAGTTTTAAGTATGTTGATTTTTGTTGCCTATTTTAACTTGGTTTTTTAAATCAAACTAAAATTACTGTCTTAATAATAAAATATTTTCAAGAAAACACGTATAGTTTATAAATCTTTTATATATTATAATTTCTATGATTACATAATAGAAAGATATTTCCTTTCAATGAATCTTATAATCATTCAATATAATATTTAAATGTAAATAATTAGTTGGTATGTACATTGGCAATGGGGGACATGTGGACAGCTAGATGATGACGAAATTCTGTTATTAGACATCAGTGTATGAGCTCGACGCCACGAAACTCTCGAGTGAACTTGACAGCAACGACGAAAAAAGCAACGCTTTTAACGATATTCCTAAAACCATGACAGAAATCACAATACATCAGAACTAATAAATGACGATTATAAATTATGCTTACCAAATGTTTTCGTCACGGTAAATAAACTTGATCTTTTCCATGGTAGTGCGAGGTCTTGGCTGGACAGCCTGGGCCGGCCTTCCGAACATTCTGTGCGCTGGTCGTTCTGGACGAGAGCTACGAGAACAAGTTATGTTGAACGGACGCTTCACCGACAGGGGTTATAAACCAAATATGGTATTATACTAGTAATAGTAGTATATCTTTGATCACCGAATAAATTTTTATTATTTATTATTGATCGACGTAGAAACTCACAACACAAAAATACAACCGATAAAATGATTATATTTTATTGTACTTATCTATGGCCCAAGCAATGAAAGAAATAGAATATCAGCGAACAGTGAATACTGAATTCGGTTGAATGGACCTAACCATAGATATAATATACAACAACGTTGTTGTATATATCTATGGACCTAACCACGAAGTTATCACTTATCAGCTGTTATCTCATGGCAGTGTAGCAAACCTATTTTGCCAAGTAGTTGCATTCTAGACTTGCTTAAACTGATTAAAATTTTGTCTGGTGAGCAGCTGCAGCCTGCAGGCTGCTAACTTGTTATTGAACTACCGCAGCAGCTCTCTAGTCTACATTATCATTTAGGCATTATCGACTTATCGTCTATGCATTTAGGTTACCATCACGGACTACTATATACAGTATTACAGTTGTAGTCCGTGGTTACCACCTATATCTTTATTATCTATGGTTTTTTTTTCGCTTGTCCTGCCGCCAATTTAGTCTTTTATCCATAAGCGGCATAACGCATAAGTTAATATTATATTGCGTCTACCGAGTGGCGAGTACCGGGCTCATAACGTTCCTTACTCTTATGCTGAGTACTGAGTAGTTTATCAACAGTTTAACACAGTTTTCAATATTGCAGTCTTGATTCGGTGCTTCGAAATCTACAATGAGCGAGTAAGCGATTATAACCGCGTGCCTAACTATTATTTATTCAAGTTGTTAGCCGATCACTTGCTTTATTTTTCCGAAATTGTTGTAGATCACCAAACGATATGGACCCCACAAAGTTGTTAGACGAAGTACGATCTTTACAATTAAAATTAGACTGTATGACCAAAACACTTGGCTCGTTGGATAAAAATGTCAACAAAATAACTGAATCACAACAGTTTCGCAGAGAAGCTGTGCGGGAATCAGCCAATTCCAACATTGTCATCAGATTTTTGACAGTATGTATTAATAATACTTAAGTATTATTTATGATGAAACGTTTTGAAAGATAGGAATTTTAGATTACTGTTAACCAGTAACTGACAATTATCATTAATTTTRCAATGATTGTCATAGATTTTTTAATCGTCTTAAAAATGTTTATTGTGACCTTGTTCTTATGTTTTTTTAGGCCTTGCGTAAATTGTCACCTGAAGAATTAAAAAATACTTTGATTGAAGCTGATTCTATTCTAAATACTGCAAATCCTACTCCTACACATCAAAATCTTGATCAAACTATAGAATGGAATGTCACTAAGGATAAGTTAAAAACAGTATTGAAAGAGGTATTTGATTTACTTAATTCATTGCCTCTTAATACCTCAGTTGATGCTAACAATTGTGTTGCTTCAACAAGTACTAGGTATAGAAATGATAGTGCTAAAGTAGAAGAATCAAAAATACAATTTTGGAGAAGATACAAAAATAAATACAATTATATTGAGAGACTTAAACTTAAATTGCCTCCTTTAAATAATGTAAATGACAGTGTACAAAATGATGTGAATCCTACTGTACAACGTGATGTGAATCCTACTGTACAAAGTGATGTGAATCCTACTGTACAAAGTGATGTGAATCCTACTGTACAAAGTGATGTGAATCCTACTGTACAAAGTGATGTGAATCCTATTGTACAAAATGATGGAAATGCCAACACACAAAATGATGGAAATGAAAATACAAAATATACTATAAATGACATTATACACAATTTTGATGTATATAAAATGTTTAAAAGTAAACTTAAAAATTCACCATATGATGACCCATATTTCAAGAATAATGTCAGAAATAATAAACTGACTTTAACACTGAAAAATGGTGAAACCATAGTAAGACCAGTGAGTCATGTAGCACCTCTAATAGTACTACGAAAATGTGATGATTTGTGTCCAATACCACTACAAAATAAAAAAACGTGTGTACCCATTGATTTTGATGTAGACTATTTTATTTATTTTATTTTTTATAACTTTATGTTTTAGAACGGGTAAACATTTTCCAAGTACTTTGAAAAAGGAGGATTCTAATAGTAATAATAATACAACTGCAAAAATTACCAAAAGAGAAACAAGATCTAATAAAACGAGAGTTATAACAAACAGGTATGTTTGCTTCTAGAGTTTTTACCGTGTTTTTTATTGATGTTTTACTTAAATTTATATTTTCATACATTTTAAAGCTTTTAGAACAGTAAATTGTTAAATATTTTATCATTTTAATTTATGAGTGCAAAAATTATAGTTAAGGTACTTAAAAGTATGCTAACTTACCCATTGATTTGTACTTTGTTGTTTCTGTTTTACAAATGACATAGCAAATATTTCATTCATTAGTTTCCAAAAAAAATTTCATTCCAAAATGTCATYATATGTATAAAATATAATAGCAAACTAAAATGGTTATTCTTCATATTTTCTAATTCGTCCAAATTTGAACTTAAAGTGTGTATAGTAAGTTCAGTAAGTAAGTGAGYATAGTAAGTACTGGACATTTTCAATTTTTCTTAATAGATTTTGAAGTTGAAAATCAAAGCATTATTTCAACTATTCATCAAGTACACAGATTCAAAAATACCTTTAATAATACTTTATTTTACATTTAATTTTGACCAAATCGTTTTTAATAATTCTGATTGTAATAGAGAAGGCAATGCTAACAGCAGTCCTCTCCTTGATTCTCGATAACACGGAAAAAAAAGATCTGATTATWATAATCTAATATTAATAATGATTTAAAAAAATCATTTTGTGTCTGTTATATGCTCTTTTAACTTATTAATTTTTTGTTACTATAAACTATATATTATTATATCTAATATCTTGTTCATGTGAAGTTACCTGATGGATATAACTAACTTTATTATAAACAATTACATAGATTTAAACTGAATTAATAGTATATTTATGTTGTTATAATTTTTAGTTCCAATACCAGTGATAAAGCTAGTGCCAAAAAACGAAATCTGACCATCAAAAATAGTAAATATGAACCATCAACATCAAAAAAAAAAAGAAATTAAAACAATTCAATACCTATCCATTAATATTTTTATGGTATATTATTTATGAATTTTTACAAATTAAAACTAAGTTGTCATTCTTTGTGTAATTTAATAGAAGAATCAAGTACAATTTAATTTATTATAATTTGAACTATGTATATACATAACAAATTTATTTACTTCATTATTTACTCATTTAAATATTTTATATTTATTAATGAATAAAATCTTGATGTCATTTTTATTATTTAATACGTTTAATTTATGTAATAAGAATTTATACATGAATTTAATAGATTTTTTATAGATTTTAATGCTAGGCTGTGTCTATGTGGGGAGTGTTCTAATGTTAATCTCCTGGGTTTTCTCAGATTAGGTAACTTGGAAATTTAATATTATTTCTTTCTAATTACACATTGTTATTATGTCATTAACATTTTATAAATTGTATATATTGCAAAAATGTTAAAACAGTTGATAGTTGATGAATTTTTTTTCTGTACAACTTAAGTGAGATTTTTTTATTTAAATTTATTAATTGTTAAAATGCACCAAGTATTTTTTAAATATTATAACATTAATTAATTAAGGTGTACAAGTAAGTTTATGGATATATTTTAGGTTGATTATGAATCAGGATGGATAATTTTCTTGAACTTCAACTGCTTCAAGTAAAACACCATGTGGTAGCAGTGGCTTTAGTTTGTGGTTTTTGGTTCTTTTCCCAATGTTCAAGTGAAGTGCACCTTCTATTGTTTTTAATTTCGAATGAAATTTTTAAAATTGTTCATCGAGCCATGTGGTTAGGTATGGTATTCAAGGGTTTTTGTGAAGTTTTGTATTTTGTATGTACCATGGTGTTTTAAGAGCTATTCTGAGAAATTTGTTTTGTATCGTTTTAAATTTTTAAATTTTTGTATAGGATGCGGCTGCCCATGACCAGCATGCATATGTAATTAATGGTCTTATTATTTTTTAGAAGTTAGCATTTATACTGAAATGCTGGACTGTAACTTATTAGGGGGTACAAGATTTTCAATCGTGTATTGGCTTGGTTTAAATTTTTAATTATTTTTGATTTTCAATTGAGCTCAATTTGTATAAAGTACACCTCTTTAGGGTAAATATTTTCGCTTTGCTCTTAATCCAATTAAGGTATAAAGAAATTTGTAGATGTTATTGAGTTTTCAAGTTTTTTATGTTGTGTTAAGATAATAGTATCGTTAGCATATATTGCTAATTGACATTTTTGTGGAACTGGGATATCAAAGCAAAAAATATTAAACGAGGGGGCTGGGCAAGGACTGATCCCTGCTTTTATTGGGTGTTCTTTAGAGGTATCAGTATCTATTCGTACTTTAAACGCGTGATTTGTGAAAAATGACGATATTATATTATATAAATAGGTTGGCAGTTTTAGTTATGTTAATTTTGACACGAGACCTTGGTGTTAAACCTTGTCGCACGCCCGTGTGACTTCAAGAAAGAAAGTGGTTGTGAATTTTTAAATCCATCTACTATTCTAGATTCGCTGAAGTTGAGTGTAGTCCCTTAGTCAACCTAGCTCGAACCGTCGTCTATACCCATGCAGCATCTTGAACGGTGTTAGCCTGGTCACTTTAGACTCACTATTATTTATTTGTTTTTTTACCCCAGACAATAAATCGTCCCACTGTTCTTCCTCAGCTAGAGAAATTAACATGGCTAGGATGGTGCTATTAATTCTCTCCACTTGCCCGTTTACTTGCGGCCTTCTCTTTGAATTTAGAATGTGTGTGACTCCATGTGACACACAGAAGTTTTCAAATCGATGAAAAGTAAAACAGGTGCCTCGATCAGTGGTCAACTTCCTAGGCAGCCCAAATCTGTWTACAAACTCATCCATGGCATACAACACTCATTCAGTGCTGGTATCCGTTGCTGGAAACAAACAGACACATTTAGTAGGATTGTCCACTATAATACCAAAATATACCTGTTTACTTCAGTGCTCGTGACAAACGGCCCTACATGGTCAGCATGAACAATTTCSAATGGCCTTCACCCTGGTGGTTTGGGATACAGCAGGCCAGATTGTCGTCTTCTATTGGTTTCCTTGTCATCAGGCACTCCATGCACATACGAATGTGAAGTTTCACATAGCAACGAAACCCTAAAAACCAGAAGTCCTGAGTTATCTTGCAGACTGTCTTATCAACAAACAGATGCCCTCCCGAGTCGTGTGCGGCCACTACAATGCTCTTGCGCATGTTCCTGGGCATTACAAACAGTAGTCGGCCTTGATACCATCTATACAGCAAATTTTCTTCTAGACTGTATTCATACACGAGTCCCTTTTCTACTTTTGTTCTCTGTTCCTCAGGTYTTTGCAATATGTTGCAAATCTGGCGCAACTCTTCATCCACTTGCTGAGTTATCCATACTTTGTTTTCAGTTTGTAACGAGATACATRCATCCAATCGGCCAGCCAACACTTCAACTAGKGTTTCACCTTTCTGGTCGGTCCACCGGATCCCGYGACAGTGCATCAACATGCAACATTTTTGTCCCTGGACGATGATGTATATCAAAATCATATTCTTGCAGTATGTCATACYRTCGCAAACCAACGCTTGACAATCAATCACAACATAGAATCTTACACCCAATAAGAAATGTCGCCATCTGTCCACTGCCCACACTATACTCATTAATTYTAATTTGCTTGAGTGATAGTGCGACTCTGAAACGCCCAACTTCTTGCTAATGCAATATATATTATATATACTATCTGCAACGGTGCTCCTTCTCCTTGCTCTGCAGCAACATTACTTCTAGGCCAACGGAACTTGCGTCTATATGGACTTCAGTGCGATAGCTGCTTTTGGGTCAAACATAAAAAATATAGGTTTATCTGCAAATATACTTTTCATTTCCGCGAATACAGTTTCTTGTGGCGACAACCATTTGAACACCACGTCCTCTTTAGTCATTCTTGATAGGGGTTCTGTCAAGGTAGCATAGTTAGTTCCGGACAAACCGCCTGAAGAATCCGGCGAGGCCAAGAAATCTGCGTACACCATGTAAATCTTTTGAAATTGGAAATTTTTCCATGGCTTGACTCTTCATCGTTTCTGGACTAATCTATCCTCTATCTATAACAAATTCCAAAAACTCAATACTCCTTGCCCCAAAAGAACACTGATGTTTTTAATGTGAGATCCGCAGCTCTCAATTTCTCCAGGACCATTCTAAGTTTTATCAGCAAATCCGGTCACTCTTCAGCATCTATCACCCAGTCGTCTGTTAATGGCTTCAATTACCACAATAAAATTTAACTTCAAACAATAGCATTAGAATATATTTCACTTAGGCTTGGACTTTGACTTAGACGCTGAACTACACAGTGTACTCGACGCATGTCACACACTCAGTGTTGCCAACGTTCAGCCATCCTTTAGGTCAGCGTCCTCGCTGAGTTCAACGTTTAACATGATATAWTAATATTAACAAATATATTATAGTAACATCTAATAACTGTCTTATGACTAACAACTTATTCATTGGCATCCCCGGTCAATTGATTCTTTAATAGTTTACAAATTATAATTCAAAATAATAATTAAAAGAAATTTTAAATAAGTAAAAAAAAAAAATGTATAAATTATAATTTTTWWWAAAAAAACATAATCTTCCATCCATTTAGGCGGTTTCTTCTCTCTAGTCCTGGTTAGTAACTCTTGATTGACTTTATCCGTTTCCTGTTGTTCTTGGTCTCCCGTTTCGGTTTCTTCTTCCTTCTGGCTGGCATTGTCAATTTCTTCTTCTATATCATCTGATTCTGGTCCCAGTTTGTTCCCTTTCATGTGTGTTGCGTGTACAGTTGTCCTGTATTGTCGTCCGTCTTTAACTATAACATCARTAATTTGATATGTATCATTGGGTAACACTTTACTGACTACAAACGGTCCTCTAAACTTTGGCTGCAGTTTGGTTGGTTCTCCGGTGTGTTTGGGTAGAGTTCTCAGAAAAATCACTTCCCCTACTTTATATTGGGCTGGTGTAATGTGTTTGGCATCGTATCTAGTCTTCCATACTCTTTATTCTTTTTCAATTGTTTCCCTGGCTTTTTCTTGCAGTTTAGTTACATCTGAATGTTGTTCCTCAGTTACTAAATGTCTTAGTATTCCATCATGGAAATTTGGATAATATCCATATAACAATCGAAATGGTGTGTCCCCTGTTGTTTTATTCTGCACATTGTTGTGTTGACTCTCTACCTCAAGYATATTATTATCCCATGTATTATCGTTCTGCATATTAGCTTGCAATACTGGTACTAACGTTGAGTTAACCCGCTCTACCTGTCCATTAGACTGCGGATGTCGTACGGATGTTAATATGTGATTTATGTCTACTCATACAGAATTCACCGAATTGTCGAGCTGTAAAAGCTGTCCTTCGGTCACTGATTACTTTCTTAGGTATTCCATAGGTTAATATAAACTTGCAAACTTCTTATGACTGCTTCAGTGTTACATGCTCGCACTGGGTATAACTTAACATATTTCGTCAAATTGTCCACTAAAATTAGTATGTAATTTTTCCCTGCAGTTGATCGCACAAATGGTCCTATATGTTCTAAGTGTATTATCTCGAATGGTCACTTTCCAGGTGGTATCGGATGGAGTTCTTGTGGTCTGCCTCTTGGTACTTTAGTTAATATACACTGGGCAGCATCTGATGTGAACTCGCACATAACTCCTCATTCGGGCAAAGTAGTACCGCTCTAAGATCTTTGCARCCGTTCGAGTGAGAAATGTCCAGCCATGTCATGACTCTGCACCACAATACTCTTACGCATTGCGTTTGGAACAACCCATAATTGGCGTTCTTCTCCTTTAATCCTAACCCTTTTATACACTATGCCTTGACGCATGACAAAATCCTTAACTTCACGTTGTTCGTTTAATGATCGCTCTTCAGTTGGTTTTGTCATTATTTTGATTATTGAACATATGTTTTCATCATTTCTTTGCATTGTTATTATGTGTTCCTCTGCAGTCATTTTTATTATGATCTTTAGCTCTTCAAATTCTCCTTCGGTGTCTGTTGATGTATTAACAGGAGCTCTGGACAAAGCTTCTACGTGGGCCATCTTTATCCTTGGCCTGTGACGTATCTTATAGTTATATTCACTTAACAGGTTTACCCATCGAGCTACTTTTGGGTTTACTGTTTTCTTAGTGTTGATAGTGCTAGAGTGATGCTAGCGTTGCCCTTATGGTGGTGTGAGGTGTTGTTCAATATGACATCAGAAACTCATCAATTGTTTCTTCCCATTTGTTATTAGATATCATTGAAGTTTTGATTGCTTTACCAAGAGTTCTCATGAACCGCTTTACTGTTCCGTTCGCTTGTGGCCAGTATGGCATTATTTTGCTGTGTTTTATTCCAAATGACTGTAAAAATTCACTAAATTGTGTAGTTCCGTTCATTGGTGGTCCATTGTCTGTTTTGACACACTCAGGTAACCCTAATTCCATGAATATATTTTTTAATTCATGTGTTACCGTTTCAGTCTTTAGATTATTTATAATTCTTACCAAAGGATATCTGGAATATTCATCAATTACAACTAATGTATATTTACCGTTAAGGAATGGTCCACCAAAATCTAGATCCAACTTTTCCCATGGTCCTTGTGGTAGTTCTGAACTCATTATTGGATCAGTATTTGATTTTGTTGTCGCTGCTTGTAATGGTATACATGTACTAATTTCATCAGTTGTCAATTTGTTCATATTTGGGAACCATACTTTGCTTCTTAACAATGTTTTTGTCTTCTCTATACCTTGATATCCAGTATGTGCAAGCTTGACTACTTCCTTTTGTAATGCCTTTGGTATAACTATCTTATTTTGTTTTAACACTAGTCCGTCATTAGTGATTGTCAACTCATCTTTGAACGGTCTGTATTCTGGCTCTAATATAGTGTTCTCCATTAATGCTGTTTTTAATTTTATGAGTTCTTCATCACTGTTTGTGCACTCTGCCACCTCTTTTCTAGTCATTGTTTTTGGTATGCTTAGTTGTGCTATATTATTGACACGTTCTTCTATTCCTGTTTCACAGTCATTTGTCTGTCGTTGGTTTAGAGGATGTCTTGACATGAAATCTGATTTGTGCTACTTTTAGTATGTAATACTTTATTGTGATTGTATCCTTGAGACCTTGAATCTTTAGTCTTAGTCGTTCTAACCTTGCTGATGAATCCTTTGTTTGACTGCTTGTCTTATTTCGTCATGGAATACTTCTGCTGCAGAGTTAATTCCAAAACTCAATCTTTTGTACCGTCTTAGTCTAACATGAGTGCTAAATGTTGTGATGAATTTTGATGCACAATCCAGCTCCAACTGGTAATAGCCCTCATTGAGATCCAATTTTAAAAATACTTTTGACCCATTCACAGCACTTATTATGACATAATATTATGACATTGTCATAATCAATAATTGGAGTCACATGACGCACTCATTCAATGGCTGCATTTGGTCTTCTCATATCTACACATAGTCTGACTTCACCGTTTTTTTTTTAGGAACTTAGACTATAGGAGAAACCCAGGGTGTTGGTCCATCGACTTTTTCAATTATATCTAATTTTTCAAGTCTTATAAGCTCATTTTCTAATTGGTGTCTTAAGTGTATTGGAATGCGTCTGTGTTGTTGAGCGACCGGGGTGATGTTTTCGTTGATGTGAAGTTGTATTTGTCTTCCTTTTAATTTCTACTTGTCTCTTTGACTGCATTTATTTTATTGTCCCACGATTTTTGTTGTGGATATTTTTTCCATGGCAATTTTGTTGTGCAATATGCTTTAAAATTCCCGATTAAACCACATCGGCCACATTTTTTATCTTTTGCTGGGCAATTAGGATCATTTTTAAAATGATTTTCCATTCCCATATCTATAGTATGCCTTATTTTTGTTTTTTCTTAAATATCAGATATTTCATAATCAACCACTAAGCGACTAAGCGTCAGATTATAAAATGAACTATAGTCTATTATTTTATGCTTCCCACTAATAAAGTATTTTCAGGGCTGAGTGGACTGGAAATAAATCACTTTTTTAACTAAAAGTAAAGCCTTTTTTAAAATTGAGTCACTTTTTTTTAAAATTCACCTAAATTTAAATTACTTTTCTGTACTAGTTCAAAAATAAATGCAGTTGCCAGTTGTATTTTTATTCTGTTATTTTATTTTGTTAACAAAAAAAAAAATAGTCATTATCATTTTACACGGTATAGACATGTATAGAAGACACGTTGTAAAGAAGATCGTGATAGAAAATCTTGTTTGTTGTTTAATCGACATTTTCATGATATAATTATTAGAAACTGTGTTATACCAAGGGTCATAGATAAACTATCTAATACGGTTATGGTCATCACGATGATTCCATAAAAATTATATTTACATATTTTATTATTTAGTCACGTCTATCAATGATTATATTATTTACCCGCTGGTTTTTATTCTTCCTGTAATCCTATCACTATTTAATCCTATTACTTTTAAATGCAGTTGTAGTATAATAATAATTGCATTGCTTGTTGTTAAAGATGCAATAAAAATGTACAAAATTGTATTTCATTAGTATGTACTATGGTTTAAGATTTATTTTTTATTTATTTAAACCGCGATTAGTATCAATCGCTGCCAAATTAATAAGTTTGGCACATAGTGCTTAAAATAGATATATAAAAATTATTTAGAAAAAGAGAAAGAACAAGAAAAAATACTCCTAGAACAAAAATCGGTAGAACAGCTACAAAAAGATAAGGAAACCATTTTGTATATTGAAGAAGATCTATAAGTAAAAAAAAAGTAATCAGAGAATTATACATTAATTGTTGCAAAAAACTTACTATTAGAATGCTAGAAGCTAATCAAAGGTACCTATAGAGGCAAAACATTTAAATTTACCAACTAGGTAGGTACAATACAAACTGCATTCGTATTATGACTTGTTTTTAATTTAAATTTAAAATAAAATCCATTGCTCTTTGTCAGAGCCAGAACATGCCCATTAATTTATACATTTTAAAGGTTATATGGCTGTGTACCTAATTTAGGTTACTAAGTCAGTTGTGTGTAGGGTGTTACAGTAATGCGGTTATTTTTGTGTATTTGTTTGTATAATTTTAAGTTGGTAGGATTGTAACACGTATTTGTGTATGTGTGGCAAGGATATGTTGCTAAAAATCCCTATTGGTAGCCCATCCGGCATCTAGCAACTGCGGCCGATACGTATACGCTCAATGCGTTTCCGCATATTAAGCGTACGACCGCACCTTACCAAGCCACAAAATTACTATTATAGATAGGTATACTCGTAMGKAAACATGAAACAGTAATAATTTTCAAATATAATTTAGGTATAGGAACTTAATAGTTAATAAACACCATCATGTTTATCGTTAAATTGTTTTTATTTCTGAATTCGACGTTAAGCCTGAAATATGATTGTCTCGTAGGTTGTACTGTTGTAGATCATAAAAAATAATAACTTCATGTACAATATAAAATAATAAACACTAGCTACTTGTTTAAGTTTATTTTTATGAATAAATATCAATAAAAATAACATTTTTATAAAAATATTATGCTTTTATAATACGAGTACACATGATGATTCACCATAATAAGCATACTTAAACCCATCTTTAATAATCTGATAATGTAGGTATTCAATTTCTGATTTTTGTAATTTCCATGTAAACTATTTTAATATGGTCTAGACTGCTCTAGAGGGTGATTCTTTTAAGTGGGTACACTAATTATCTCGAAAAGTATTTACTTTTTTCAAAATATTTTTTACATGGTTTCAAGTTGTTAAAAACCAACGTTTTTATTAAAAAATTATATTTTTAAATATTTTTTATCCTTATCATTTTTTAAGTTTTTTACTTTTTTGAATGACAACATAGAGTTTTAATTTCATATTCCAAWKCAGAATATTTTTCTAAGTATTTTGATTCATACAAATCGAATTTGGGCTAGTAGTTTTTGAGTTATAAGTATTTAAACTTTAAAGTTTGGATTGGCAGAGTGGAGTGGTACGAGGTTACCCCGCAAAATGTTTGTCCACTACTCCGCCTAAACTTTAAATACATATAACTCATAAACTACTCGTCCTAAATTTGATTTTTATGAATCAAAATACTTAAAAAAAATATTCTGCTTTAGAATATGAAATTAAAAATCTATGTTGTCATTCAAAAAAGTAAAAACTTAAAAAATGATAAGGATAAAAAATATTAAAAAATATAATTTTTTAATAAAAACGTTGGTTTTTTAAAACTTGAAACCATGTAAAAAAAATATTTTGAAAAAACTAAATACTTTTCGAGATAATTAGTGTACCCACTTAAAAGAATCATCCTGTATATAATATACCTTATATAGTTATATATAATTGAATTATATTTTACATGTTTGAAWCTTGAATGCAAACGTTTATGTGCATATTTAAAATGTATAATAATTAATTGTATCCACTTATGAATTTGTGAGTGCATAATATACATAAGCTATTAGTTATATGATTTATTTTACAATAAAATACCTAGAATGTATATAATAATTCAGTATACAATTTTTGTTTACGCAGTAAATAATTTTATAAAAAATCAACATGCTAAGAATATCATAATTTTTTTTTTTTTTTTTAATTATCCCGCAGCAACTAAGGCCATTGGGAAGGGGGTAGTACTGTAGATTTTAATGGAACTGTAGGTTGGTTTTACACGTGGGTGAGAGTTTTGTCAGAATTTCTATTGGGGCACCCGTAGGTTTCTGCCATGCCCCGGAGTGAGGGATGGCGGCACTTGTTCTCCGGACACCGTGACTTGCCCGGAGAAAAATGCCGCCCGATGGTCRAGGWTCGAACCYGGTCCGGCTGAGCCACAGCCGACGCGGTAGACTACTCAGCCACCTCGTCCCCAATATTATAATTAGGTAGGTATAATAATGTCACTTCATTAACAGTAAGAATTATTAAAATTTGTTGTGATAAAAATTGTTGGGTTATTCTGTTGAATAATATTTATAAATAATTTCATATTTTCTACTAAAGTTATGTTTTTGGTTTTTCATTTTTTGGGATTATTGAAAAAGGAAAATTTCTATGTATTTACAAATTTCGTGGTGTGAAATTTTGCGAGCGGCGGTCTATTGGAGTCGGATGTCGTTTAAACGCACAGTTAGTTTACTATTAAATAATGATGTTAGAAACTAATAAAAATATATATACTTATAATATTATATGATATATTCTAATTTAGTGACATATTATTACGAATATTACTGATCAATGTAAATCTTAATGACTGCTGAAGACTTGAAAGTTTCGTTGCAACACCTGCGTGTAGGCGTACACAAAGAAAGGATTTTCTCAATGGATTATTATAGTTATTAAACTTTTATAACAATAACAATAATAATATAATATAATTTATGATAACATTTTAATTTCAAACGCTTAAGTATAAAAAAATTTGTGTGAAAATGTAGATCCTGATCCTGACGTACTGTCGTATTGTAGTTCAACTAAGAATATGTTAAAAATATTATAATATAATGCAAGGATTCAGATAAAAATTATCTAGATAAAATAATAGATTACTAAAGTTCTGTAGATTATTTAGAGT